AAAAAAAAAAAAAAAAAAGGAGCCAGAAGGAAAGCCTGGAAGGAAGAGGTCAGGTTTTAGGAACTTTTCAAAAAAATCATGACTGAAGAGTAGAGGGTGAACCTCAAAAAATTATGGGAGAGGAAGGGACAATGGATATTGAGTTAAGTGGGAGAAAGCACAGAGCACTATGGAAATGAGCTTATGGGGCAAACGTTTCATGAGAGAGGCTTATATTTCAAGTAATGTCCAAGGAAGACAGGATGGGACTCAGAGCGAGGTTAGCCTGTTTCAAATTTCTAATACAATGTGTCCCAGGATCTCTGGTGGGTGGAAGGACACAGGCTTCCCTATGAGGAGTAGGTACTGACCCATCTGTTTTTGAGGCACTACTAGCCTAGACAGCATGAGCCCAGTGGAATTACTTTGCTCCCAAGAGTTTCACTGTGTTGGAAACAGGGCCAACCCCTAGGGTATGGAAAGCCTTTCTGGAAAGAGTCACTCACATCTGGCTTGATGTTGACTGAGAAAACACCATTGGATTTGCTAATATTATGAGGGAGTAATTGGTGAAGCTTCAGCAGTGGTAAAGGAAGAATCTAGGTTGCAAGGGATTGAAGAGTGAGTGGGTAGTGAGGTTAGTCAGCACAGACTGCAGTTTTGAGAAATGTGGCTATGCGATACCATACCATAATACCTCAGTGCTTTACCATTTACAAATTCTTGTAGACATGTGTGCATGAATAAAAGACCAAGAAGGTAGGAGGTGGGTGTGACTAATTAGTGAGCACAATCTATACTTGGGACATGAAAGACATTTCAGTTTGACCCATTAAGAAGCTTGTCTCTGACTCAGCCAGCCAACTCTGTCCTTCCCTGTCATGTTTTAATTTTCTGTCTTTTCTCCAGATTTTTAGATGGGTGTAGTAGAGTCAGACAGGTCTGAATTTGAATCCTGGCCCTGACTTTCCCTAGACATGTTTTTAAAGTTTCTTGGGGACTTTGTTTTCTTATCTGCAAAGTAAGAACAAGCATCTCTGCCTCATAAGGTTGTATTGGGGATTATAAAAGATAGAAGAGGCATAAAATGCTGTCTTCCCCTGTCTTTTTTCATCTCTATCCCTCACCTGTCTCTACTTTCCTACCTTTTGTCTCTCACCTATCTCCAATCCCCTCTTTCTTTATTCCCTTCACATTGAAAAACATACATTTAAGCACATACTATGCTTTCTTATGTCTCACCTGGAATTTAAGTTGATTCTTTATATTATCTTTTCCATGAACATTGATATTTATAACCAAGCGGAGGGTTTAAATGTCAATATATGAATTTTGTGCTCTGGTTTAGCGAGTGGTAAAAATGAATAGTGGATGTGTTTGAAACACCAGAGTGAAAGTACTGGGGAGACTCATAGAGACACTGAGCATTTGAAAGTAAGGGTCACAAGAAATTACCAGTCTGAAATGGCTTGTGAACCTGACGTATGACCAGCATGAAATATACACAGGCACAGGTGTTTTGTGGTAGATAAACTCCCCGGCCTCCTATTTCAGTATCAGACCAGGCTGCTCATTAACTTGGCTCCATTGTTTCCGTGCCATTGTTAAGTCAGTGCTGGTTCTATGTATCTGAAGTTCCTAGTTTCCAAGATGTGATGGAAAAAGAGGACCTACCCACACAGATCTGCATCTGCCATTTTTGCCTGTGTGGTGCTGCCTTTCTGCTCTAAACTGCCAGAGCATATTCTCAGTTGGCATAGGCCTTTGTGAACACCAATGTCGGTGTTTCAGTTCTCAATTGCCAGTGGCGCTGGAAAATAGCAAAAGACACTTGGAACTCTAAGCATTCTTTTATTCCTTACGCTTCCATATTGTTGGGAACTTAATGATGTCTTTGGTTTCCATGCCTCGTAACAACACGAAACATTTTTAAATTTAGTCCCAGAATGTATTTTTCCTGTTTGTTTGTTCTTTTCTCTTTTTTCATTCTTCCTTCTGCTATTTATCCCTCTTTCTCTTTTGAGCTTTATTTTTAGGGGTGAGGTAGGTAGAGAGAGGTCTAATTTCTTTTGGTCTCTCTTTTCTCTTAATCTGTACTGTGTATTTCCCTTATTTTCAACTTTGAATGTAAGACTTTAAAAGTAGGTTTAAAAAGATAATGATTCCTTTATTTCCTAATACCATCTAAATATATATTTCCCAGTCTGGTCTCCTTGTGTTGTGTTTTTAAAAGGTTTCATATAAAGAGAGCCTGGAAAACTTAAGCAGTTGTAAACCTTAGAATATAATTTCCAGGTCAACTTTGATCTTAAATGCCAAGTTCATTGGTGGGAAAAAAAAAATTTTCTTTTTAAATCTTTCACATTGAAATCAATAACTAGTGTTCCAAATGAAACTTCAAAGGCTCACTGTAGATTTTTAAGGAAGGGTAATTCCTTCATTATCAAAGAAATGAGATGTCAGGAAAAGCCTGAATCCCTTTGTTTAGAATATGGTCTAGTTGCTTGGCTTTCCTTTTGTGTGTGTGTGTGTGTGTGTGTGTGTGTGTTTCCGTCTCTCTCTCTGAATGTAAAATCTTCATTTATTTTTAGTTTCTCAAGAGACACTTTTACTATATTCTTTCAGATGGCTGTTTCTGATTTAGAGGGGGAATCAGCACATAGTGGTTCAAATCTGCTTAGTATGGTGTTCATTCTTTTCAGCTTTTCATGTTTCAACTTTTGCGGGGCCTGGCATACATCCACCACCAACACGTTCTTCACAGGGACCTGAAACCTCAGAACTTACTCATCAGTCACCTGGGAGAGCTCAAACTGGCTGATTTTGGTAAGTTGCCCCTCGGGTCTCCTTCTGGGCTGTGAACAATGATGCTTTTGTGTGCACATGTGTAAAGCATTGACTAAGCCCAGCCTTTGAAAATTGGAGGCCAGGGGAACATGATGCTTTGTGGGGATATCAAACTACCATATAGGGAGTGTGAAGCAAGAAACGGGGACATTAGTAGCTACCAAGGATTCCGTCAAGACCTGGTCCAATCAGATGCCCAAAACTTGGGCACTTTTATATGCCACTACCATTTTTAATATAGTGATATCTGTAGAGGAAATTGTACTTAGTAGGTTTCACTAAATGTAAGCAGATATACAATTCTGTCAGAATAGAACAAGGTTATCTGAGGATGACAGGATAAAGGATATCTCCATGTGATGACTTTGTCTCTTCTGCTAGACTATAAACATTTTGAGGTCAAGGTTTAGGCCTGTTTTTTCTTATCACTGCATCCTTAGTGTCAGGCACCACAGTATGTGCTCAATAAGTATTGGCTGAAAACAGTTCTACCTGGGGCTGAGGAACCGTTCCTCTTGGTTTGACATATGTCAAATGGTAGTACTATATCTACAGCACTTTATTCTGAGACAGTGGCTTTCATCCTGACATGTAAGCATTTAACAGACATCCATTTATCAATTCATCACAATAGAAAACTCATCTATTGAGGTCCTTCCTAGTTTTAGATCATGTGATTCTATGAGATAAGTGGTTGGCTGACAGATGAACTCATTTTGCAGAAGAGCCCTTGATAGACACTCATAAGGTCTTAAAAACTAACTGATTTTAATTAGCAGCCCCACTCTATCCCCTAAACTGGTTATTCCTGGACTGCAAAAATAAAGGGCAGCCATATTAGAATAAAATTCAGTCACTGTAATAGAGACTCAAAACTAGAGGGGTTAAATAATTTAAAAGTTTAACTTCCTCTCAGATAAAGTCCAACCTAAGCAACTTAGAGTTTGTATGGTGGCCCTGTGGTGTCTTGGCTCAGGCTCCTTTTGTCATGAGGCCCCACTCTCTTCAGGGTATTGCTCCAACTGCCTGTTTCGAGAAGACTCTGCTCATTCCAGCCCAGAGGAAGAGAAAAGGGAAGCAGAACACTTGACTCATCCATTAAGGATATGATCTGGAAAGTCACACATCACTTATACTCATACCTTACAGGCAAGAGCTCATTTACCTGACCACACCTAGCTGCCTAGAAAGCCACATCTAGTTGCAAAGCCGGTCAGTGATTAAGAAATTCCCTTGATGAAATGGTACACAAGGGGCAAAATAGCTGAGTGGTCCTATTTAAAGTTTGTGAATTACTTAAAAATGCTGTTTACCACTTACAATCTTCCTTGGTAGAATGCACCACTATATTTCAAGACACCCAGGACAAAGGGTTCTGTACTTGTCACCTTTGACAGGTCTTGCTCGGGCCAAGTCCATTCCCAGCCAGACATATTCTTCAGAAGTTGTGACCCTCTGGTACCGCCCTCCAGATGCCTTACTGGGAGCCACAGAATATTCCTCTGAGCTGGACATATGGTAAGAACTAAACCAAAAACCAAAAAAGCAAACTCACTGCCATCGAGTTGGATCCGACTCATAGCGACGCCTCCTCTTGGGTTTCCAAGGAGGTATCACTACGGAAGTAGGTTGCTCAACCTTCCTTCCGAGGAGTGGCTGGTGGGTTTGAACTACCAGCCTTCTGGTTAGCAGTCAAACGCCTTAGGTACTAAGCTAACAGAGCTCTCATGGTAAGAACTAGTACCAAGAAAATGTAAGTCATCTCATCTGTGACAGATTATTATTGTTGTTTTATCATCCATATTACATTTTTAATAATAGTTCTGATAATGACAATCACTAAAATTGTGCACAGAAATGTGAACTGTTTAGTGTTTGCAGTCATTCTATGAATTTTTACAGTTAAATATTCCATCTTTCTTCCACAAAGCAGCTGGTGGCGTTTGAACCACAGACCTTTTGGTTAGCAGGCCTTAGTCAATACACCACCAGGGCTACTTACTCTAAGGATTAAATATAATAAAATATATGGGCCTCTTTTAGTTCTTTAGAAGAAAGGAGCTATATAAACAAAAAGTTTTGGTTTTATAAAAAATAAATAAATAATAGTTTTATTTTAAAAAATTATGCATCAGTGTTCTAAAAGGTTAAAGTAAGCTTTTGGATTTCCCAAAGAATTAAGAAAGGCTGCAGAAATTTTCCTTCCATGTATATGGAGTCCTTGAGCTCCTGATACATAGTATCATTTCTAGAAATATCACCTGCTAGTCAAAACCCTCCTGAAACTGTCAGTGCACAACGCCCTGCACTGTCACTTCAAAGGCCAACAGCACCTCTGGATTTCTCAGCTATTAATGATCATTTCCTACTCATGCTTCCCAGACAGGGTGAAACTTTTGCCCATCACTTAAAATTTTTCTTATTATGGAAAATTTTAAACATTTATTTATTTTTTTTATTATGGAAAATTTTAAACATTTAAAATTTTAAACATTTAAAACATTACATACAGACTGGTGGGTCTCCACCAGAGGCAATTTTGCTCCCCAGGGGACATTTGGCAATGTTTAGAGACTTTTTAGGGGGTTGTCACAACTGGTTTAGGGATGCTACTGGCATCTAGTGGGTACAGGCCAGCACGCTGCTAAACATACTGCAGTGCAAAGGACAGCTCCCAGCAACAAGGAGTTATCCAGCCCAAAATGTCAATAGTGTCAAGATTAAGAAACCATGATGTAAATTCAGAAGCATAGTAAAGAGAACTCCAGGAACTCGCTACCGAACATCAGAACTACAACATAATCTACACTGTTGCATGGCCCTGCCCCTCCAGCAAAAGTAACATCTACCCTGAAATTTTGGTCATCCTTCCCTTACCCCTTTTAAAAATAGTATTTTTACATTTTTTTGTGTATTTTAAATTACATGTTGTTTTGTTTTATCTGCTTTTGAACTATTATAAAAATGATATTGCATTGCTTTTAGTCTTTTGTGATTTTTTTTTTTTTTACTCAATATTTTTTAAGATTCATCCATGCTTATCTGTGTAGCTATTTTCTGTTGATGAACATTCAGGTTTATTTTTTTCCCCATAATGAACACTCTTGGTATTTATATTTAAGGATTTCTCTCTCTGTATAAAACCAAACTCACTCCATCGAGTCGAGTCGACTCATAGCAACTCCTCCTTGGGTTTCCTAGGCGGTATCACTACGTAGATTGTCCGATCTTCTTTTCGAGGAGTGGCTGGTGGATTTGACCCTCCAGCCTTCTGGTTAGCAGTCAGATGCCCTAGGCACCACGCCACCAGAGCTCCATATATGTATTTATTTACTTTCGAGTAGATTTGCTATGTCACAGGGTATATGAATATTCAGCTTCATAAAATAGTGCCAGTTTGTTTTCCAAAGTGGTTTTAACAGCTTATACCCCATTGAAGCCAAAACCTGTTGCCATCAAGTCAATTCTGACTCATAGTGACATGAAGGGCAGAGTAGAACTGTCTCACAGGGCCTCCAAGGCTGTAATCTTATGGAAGCAGACTGCCTCATCTTTCTTCCATGGAGCAGCTGGTGGGTTCAAATCATTCACCTTTCAGTTAACAGATAAATACTTAACTACTGGGCCGCCAGTGCTCCTTATTCATGCCCAGCAATGTATTATAGTCCCATTATCTACGTCCTCACCAATGTTATAATATCGAATTTCTTAATTGTTGCTAATAAAGCGGGTAGAACAGTATCATATTGTAATGTTACTTTGAATTTCTCTAATTAATAATGAAGTTGAACATCTTTTGATGGATTATTTGCCATTTGTGTTTATCTTCTATGACATATCTGTCCATATCTTTTGTTCCATTTTTGGTTGAGTGCTGCCAGGATCAACTTAACGGCACTGAGTTTGGCTTTTGGTTAATGTAGCAAAAACTTCATAACCCAACTTGGTCATGATGTATGACCTTTTTTATACAACATTGGATCCCATTTACTAACATATTGTGTAGAATTTTTTTCATCTCTGTTTAGGCCTATAGTTTTCATATCTTATAATATTGTTGTCTGATTTGGTATCAAGATTATTCTGTCCTTATAGGAAGAGTTGGGGAATATTTCCTTTTTTATTGCCCGGGAGAGTTTTGTCAAAGGGAACACTTTGAGCTTTTGTTGATCCTCTCTATTGCTCATCTCTATTTTCTATTTTATTCATACCTTCATTCTGTCCTTCCTTAGACTTTTTTTAACCTGTTTACCTGTAGGGCAGCATATCCTGTAGTGCTTTACTAAAAGTCTAAAGTTTGCCCCATGTTGCTTTAATTTTTAGGCTTTTCTTTTTTAATTGGGAAATATACATCTAAATATACATCTAAAGGGTGTTTGAGTACATATGTATGTTTTTAATAATAATAAAGTAAAAACCATGAACTCAGATTATAAAATAAATTATTGCCAGTACCTTAGTAATTCCTCTGATGTCTTTCCCAGATCCTGGCCATAGGTAATCACTATTTTATCTTTCATCATGGTCATTCCTTGCTTTTCTCTATAGTTTTACTATCTACAGTCATATCCCTACAGAAAAATAGTTTCACCTATTTTTTAATTTATTCAAATGGAATCACTCTATAAGTGGTCTTTTGTGACTTGGTTCTTTCAACCCAAATTATGTTAGTGAGAGTCATTCCAGTTGAATTGTGTATTTGTACTTCATTTACTTTTACTTCATTGCTATTTAGTTCTCCTTTGCACGAATATGTAGTGATCAATGATCAACTCTACCATTGTTGGGATTTGGATTACTTTTCATTTTTGGTAGTTATGAATAACACTGCTATCAACATTTCTGCACCTGCTTCCTGGTACACAGGGAGAAGATTCTCCACCCAGGAGTGGAACTATTAAATCACAGATTATGCATATGGCCAGTGGTAGTTGATAACTGTTACACTGTTTCCAAGATGGTTATAACATTTTACATTCTCATCACCATTTTATGAGAATTCCTTGATTTATTTGGTATTGCTCAATTTCTTTAATTGTCATTCTGGAGGGAGTATTATCAATTCTCATTTTAATTTTAATTTACATTTCCCTGATTAGTAACACAATTTTGTGGTAGTCCTAGAAAACAAAAATAACCTGAATCTAATCATGAGGAAACATTGATAAACCTAGTTTGAAGGACATGCTGTGGAAGCCCTAAACTGCAGTCTTTAAAAGGCTTGAGGTTTTACAAGACCAAGAGACACCGAGGAACATTCCAGATTAAAAAAGACTAAAGAAACAAGCCAAATGAATGCAATGCTAAGGCCCAGATTGGATTGTGGGGGAAAATGGAGCTGTAAAGAACATTATTGAGACAATAGGTGAAATTTAAATAAGGACTGTAGATTAGATTAGATTAGATGTAGATTAGATTAAGGAGATGGATTGACACAGTGGCTGTGACATGGGCTTAAGTATAGCAAGGATCATGGAGCTGGTGCGGGATCCCGCAGTGTTTCGTTCTGCTGTGCATGGAGTCGCTATGAGTCAAAAACAACTGGACGGCACCTAACAACAACAACAGATTGGATAGTGGAATTGGGTCAATGTTAAATTTCCTGATTTTAATAATTGTATCATGGTCTGTAAGTAAGTGCTTTTGTTTTTAGGAAATATACACAGACATGTTTAAAGGTGAAGAGTCATAATATCTGCAACTTACTCTCCTGTGTTGAAAAATAATAGGTAGGTAGATAGATAGATAAAGAAAATGATGAATTAATGAAGCTAGGTGAAAGATATAAGAGAGTTCTTTCTACTATTCTTACCACTTTTCCAGAAATTTAAATGATATCAAAATGAACATTTACCCCAAATTTGAGAAAAACCTGGTTTGCACCAAAAATAATGCAAAAAGCACTGGCTTCGCATATGATCATTTAGTAAGTATTTCATGTATGTATGAGAAGAATGTACATTCCCTGATTGTTGAGTACAGGGCTTTACATATGTTCAAAGCTGTTAATTTTGTTACCCAAATCTTTATATCATTTTAGTCTGTTTTACCTCTCAATAAAAAACAAAAAAACAAACCAAACTCACTGCTGTCAAGTTGGATCCTATTTATAGCCACCCCTCCTTGGGTTTCCAAGCCAGTATCTCCAAGGAAGTAGAATGGCCAATCTTCCTTCCAAGGAGTGGCTGGTAGGTTTGAACCATTAGACTTCTATACACCGCCATCGAGTCAGATCCAATTAATAATGACCTCTCCTTGGGTTTCTGAGGCAGTATCACTATTGAAGTAGATTGCCCAACCTTTCTTCCGAGGAGTGGCTGCTGGGTTTGAACTGCCAGCCTTCTGGTTAGCAGTCAAGTGCCTTAGGCACTATGCCACCAGAGCTCCTCTCAGTAAAAGGTGTGTTGAAATCTTCCACTACATTATTGATTTGTCGTGATTCTTCTATTTTGGCTTTGTTTATTTTGAAGCTATAAATTTATTTGGAGGTTTAAATTAAGAGCAAATAAATTTAAAAC